TTTGGATCTCCACTCTGCACTCCCCCCATTATTCACTATGGTAAGATATTTTGTTCTGATGATGCCTTATACCTGATCCCTCCATGAGGCTTTCAGTGACTAATTCCTCGGAAGTGGACAGCCTATTCCTTCTTCATTGTCTATTCTTAGTGTGGAAGCTCTGCTGAAACCTGTTCACTTTGAGTGATCCCGCTGGTATTTGAAATACCAGTGAATAGCTTTCCATATCGCAGTAATATATAAGCCACCATAGTACAACAAACTGACAGGCCAGTGGTGGAAGCATTTAAAAAAATAATTAGAAACTAAAAGTTTTATAAAACAACATTTTATACCAAATTATTTATCTTTTTAATAAACAACAAAAATCCATTCTAGAAAAACTAGAAAATAAATGTGTTACCATTTTACAAGAGAAAGACCGTACCTTTTTGTATGTGGCAAAAAAAAATCTACTGTAGTGCTTAGAGTCATTTTAGCAGCAATCTTGTCTCTTTTACAATTTCCGTCTTTCGTAATTCTGGTGCACCTATGGAAAAAGAATAAAATACTTCTATTTTTAAGGGTAAAATTAAAGAAGCAATAATTGTTAAAATAGTAGTTAATATGGCTAATATCAGCCTCCCTACAATGCTAATCTAGAGGTAGTCTGGAAATATTTACAAATGTAAATGTAACAAGTTAAATTTTCACTTTTACTGGTAAAAATTATAAGAATTTCACAGGAAAGGCACAGGAACAAATTGTGTCATCAGATTTTCAGAATCTGTATGAAGGTTTCCACTGGTTTGCTTGTGTGGGAACTCAAGAGAGGCTACCAGTCGCCAGGCCCAAACTGATAGCAGGCAAGGACCCCACTGATTCTCTGTTGATAAAACTAATATTCTGAATTGTCTCCCCAATAGACATGATGATTTATACTGACTGATCTATTTACCCTTTTCAGGCACTCTTATAATGGATTTCAGGCTTTTGGAGCGAGAGTGGGGGCCCCAGTGACTATTTCTTATTAAAGTAGCCCATGGCCAATATGGGAAATACATACTTCTTTTTTTTAAAATCCATAAACCAATCCAGGACAAACACCATTAAAATTTGGCATGCTTTTTCCCCATGTGCATATTTATATATTCGTGCTCATATTTCTTTGGTTACCCAGTTGTGTGGTACGGTGCATTACTTGATAGAGCTCTTCTAGCTATAGTCTGTAATTATCACCAAGAGACGACAGATAGGGCGTATGGAACTCTAATGTTAGAATTGGCAATTCTACCAGTCTGGGTTTAAAATAAGCCATCTCAGATGCAGTAATGGCTTCACTGTCTTCAGGAAAGCAGAAGCAGGAGTGGTGTGCGGCCCTTGGGCTCCGAGTTCCCTGTACACTTAGCCTACTTTACCCATGAGATGGAGATCTGTGACATTAGAGGAGTGGCAGAGGAGCGGCGGCCTCAGAATAAGAGCATAAAACAGGGTACTTGGCTGCCCCAACCAATGGTAGAGTAAAGCTAAGTGCTTTTGGGTAGGAGGCTCCCTTGTAGCTTGTGTTGCCTCTAAAAAGTTTATTGTGGGGATCTGGTTTTGCCAATCCTCAGAGCTAGGGCTAAGTGCACTTGTGTGAGGCTTACTTAAGGTCAAATGGAGTGCCTTTTAGGCATTATTGGCGGCAATAAGAGTTTTGTAATATTGCCCTAGCAGCGCTGAATCTGTGGAGGAAGACCAGAGAGGTAGGCCTGCAAGCATAACTGAGAAGAGGCACACCAGACTGAAGAACTGTATCCTGAGAACTTCTAGTCTTGAATTGTAACCTGTGAACTTCCCCAGTAAATCCCATAAGCATAGGTATCGTCTGTGGGTTCTGTGTGGTCACTGCAATAACTAACTGACCCCACCACAGAAGTAGAGAATGCCAGGGGAAAGGAGGGTTGGTGTCAGAACTGGTCTTAAACTTAGGTTGAGTTTGATTCTTCCGCCCCCTTGTGAACTCAGGAGTCAAACACTGATTCTATGCCATTTTTATAAGCTGAGATCATGGTACATATAACTCCACAGTCCACCTCTTTTAGCTAACACTGTAAGTGCTGTATCATGTCATCAAAATTATTCAGAAAGATCATTTTAACAACTGCTCAATGACTAAGTCATGGAAGGGCCACAATCACTTACAACCAATTCTCCGTAGTTGAAGACCAAGACTGTATTCAACCATTTGTTATTTTAAAGATCTTTGTGCATTTTATTTATCTGTGATTTGGATGCTTCACTTGGGATGGATTTATAGAAATAGAGATAAAAATATAACAATTTAGACTTGTAGCATGCACACATATTGAAATGATTTTTAGATGCTTGACTAGGCTTGGGGAGGAAACACTGCTAGAAACCAAGAAGAAAAGGTATTGAATTCCATTTTCACAATGTTCCCCTGAGGATGTCCTTGTCTTCACTTGTGCTTCAATATATTAAGTGATCATTTTATCTAAACCAACCAGCAACCAATCAAGGGCTAATATCTGCCTGCCTACTCTGCTAATCTAGAGGTCTATAGCCTCAGTGAACTAAAATCTTCCTTATGATGTTATATGATTACTAGTAGCTAAATTTCCACCCAAGAAAGCAGTTTTACACAAGGCATTTACTAACATTTTCATGCCCTGCTCAATTTCTGATGCACAAGACATTCCTTCCTAGAAAATAGTTCTATCATGCCATAGATGTGCATGCTTGATAGCTATTTTCTCTCCACATTTACCTAATATATTTTATAAAACTTTCTTAAAACACGTATTCTCTTTATCTTTGGCAGCACAGCCCTGTAAATGTTCCTTAAAGATGAAAACTTACTAGAACAAAACCTTCACAGTTGTTTCTTTTCCTTTCTTTGGTGTGTGTTTCCTGCTAGAGTATTGCACGTTATTGAGCACAGAAACTACAGTCTTAAGGTTAATTCATTAAACTTACAGGATGTTCTCAATCCATCCCATTCCAGTTCCCTTTCTCTTTAGGAAGGTTTCTTGGATGCCATGAAAGTCTTCGTTTTTTTCTAATTTTTTCTAATTTTCCAATTTTTCTAAAATTTTCTAATTTTCTATAGTTCCTCTTCTCTGATTTAAATGACTATGTTCCCCACAAATTTGCCCTAAATGCTCTGTAATTATAAGTGTCTATCTTAATCATTGCTGTCCATATGGTGATTTCAAGCATCACTATGCCACAAGTGAGTCTTGATGTCTCTAAGTCCTAGTCTCATATTTTGAAGCATCTATTTTTGACTTATCCATCTAAATATCTCTCATGCACCCTATATGACCATCAACTTTTCCTTTTACCTTGTCTCTTACATACAATTAATGCCCAATTCAGCTTCAAACATTTCTACCTGCAGTTAATGTTCTCTCTCTCTTTGGCATCTACTGTTTTGGTCTCTTTCCTGGAATACATCTTAAAAACACTATTACCAGATTGATCTTCCTATAGCAGAGTTCAGGTAATACCTTCACTGAATCAAAATCTTCCAACAACTCCCTACTGTTTATAGTACAAAAAATAACTTTACCTAACTAACATTCAAAGTTTATCTCAACTTCTTAACACTGATAAATCAGGAAGAACTGAATTATCAGACGCTTACATTTTCATACTTGTATCTTTGCTCATTTTCTTCCCTCTGCCTGGAACGTCTGAATTCCAATTACTCTCATGGTACAGGTAAACACCACCTTTTCTACAAAACCTACCATTTTTTCCCCTGCAACAACTTGAAAACACATGTTAGTGATCAAAGTGGATGACAAGAGCTTCTTCAGAGCAGAATACATCTCTAAATCCATGGTTTGATTGTTGCATGCTGGTGACATCTTTACATAACAGACATCCCAAACACATCTATGAAAATCTTCCCTTCTTCATTCCATTTTTACTACTGAAATGATAGGTTCAAATTGATCCTTTCTCCAAACATGAACAAATTTACTCTTCTAATCAAAATGACAGCATGTAAGAATTAACTAATGATAAAATGATGTGCATACAACTGTTTTCCCCTCTTCCTTGACCTTTTTGCAACTCAGGTGTTACACTTTTAATCAGAACTTAGAACTGTGCCAAGAATGTAGTCATTCAAGTCTTGAGCCCTTGGGCCAACTGAACAATGCAGCTAGCTCAGAGTAGATTTCATCAGAGATGTGTAATGGCAATAATTTTCTTTGCTCTTTCTTTTAGGATATGGAAAGCTTCCAACAATGGTAATCAGTAAATTAGTTTCCACAGACATTATAGCTTACTATAACAAAGAACACACAGTACAAAGTATAAATAAAAAGACCCCCTTTTATGAGCCCCAAATAAAATGATTTAATAAATAAATAAATAAAATAAAAGAAAGACCCTCTCATAATTTACCTTTCCCCAGAAACTCTCAAGAAAGATAATCCAAGGACGATCTTAAGTTGATTTTCAATGTTGTGATCATACTGATTCAACAATACATCTCTAGTCAACTAATTTGAAAAATCCCACATTTCAACATTAAAAGATTAAAAGTCATAATGTTTTCTATCAGAATGAACTTTAAAGATCATCTACTCAACTCCTTCTCCACCTATGTTTTTCAAAAAGCAGACTCCTAGAAAAGTCAGGCTTTAACTCTTAGGTAATGTTCAAATGTGGCCCTAGTTGCTATGTTTCAGAATTTAGGATGGCATGCTTACATGCCATATGATGCTGTAATTCTCTCACTACTCTTGTCTCTATGAACCCCTGGGAAACTTCATTTGTACCGTCTGGATGGGGATCGTCAGCAAATCCATTATTTATGCCGTTGACCCTTGAACAACACAGGTCTGAACCACATGGGCCCACTTATATAAGGATTGCCTTTCCTACTACTGTGGTACTGAGCTCAGACATTTTGAATATCTACTTAAAATGTCTAAGACACTGTGTAGCACTAATCATCTCCCTGGAGTAGTTTGTCTCTCCAGTTATTGCTCTTGTGGAGTGTCACCCGGCACTTTAAGAAGATACAACATTTGAACTCACCCCAATAGCAATGGGGGTTGGGGGCAGGGGGTGAACCAAATGTGAGTAACCAGGCCCACACAGCTCAAACCCGTGTTGCTCAAAGGTCAACGATGAGTTATATGTGGATTTTTGACTATGCAGAGGCAGAGTCCCTGATCTACATGCTGTTCAAGGGTCAAATGAATAGTGATTCCACTCCCATTCTTTCCTCATTAGTCAGACATTGTTAGGGTGGTCCCAGGTAGCAGTGGGACTATAAAAAACACAAACATATCTTGAAATGACTGAAAAGTTTGGTAATAAGGTGATCATCTAGACAATCCACTCTATGTTTTCATTTTTAAGATAACCACCAAAGTGAAAAACTAACATTTACAAATTTGAGACTGAGACAGTGTCTTTAAATTCCCAGGGGTCAATGGAGCCACTTGAAAAATAGTCTAGAGTGGCCATATCTTACTCAAGATAATTGAGAACAAAAGACAACACTTAAAGCCCTAAATGCA